AGGTTCACACCCATTACTTAACTCACTTCATAGCTCTCTCCCTACTCCTATCCATACTCAAAGCGTTATTACTAGTATAAAGAAGAGGATAAGGTGAATAGGTGACCACCTTCAGTTCTGGAATGGCCTAACGACAAATATTTCTCAAAATAACTAGTAGACTCTCCTCCCTTGGAACTTGTATGTTGTTTTTGAGACGTCTGAGATGTTGGCTTCACGGGTTTTCTGGAACTCGTAGATCTTCCAATCACTGATGAACTAGTCTGACCAGAACATCCTGGGAACAGCACAATGACATGAGTTTCCCGGCAAGAACAACTCACTAAAAAATAAAAACAATCACGACCATGCATTTCGTAGCCACTTTGTTCATCTTATCAGCTGACAATGATCATTTAACCCTTTTGATCATATATCTTTTCTTCATCTTGTCAATACAAATTATATTAAATGTATTGCTTTCATAATACAAAAAGTTAACCAATATCACCCACAATTTCAGCCCAATTCACACCCTTGTCAAATCTATCTTATAGAAAACCCCATATAAAAAGGTTTACCAGATGCTGAGAGGTATAACATGATCAAACTTTCTGGAGGAAGCTCATCAACTAGTTTGGCAATGACCTGTAAATGCACAAGTAACTAATCAAATGACATTACAAGCATTAAAAACAATAATCCATAAAAAGCATATCCTTCTGAGGACATGGCTAACAGATTGTGATAAGTTTAATAAAAACAAAAGGCATATGAACTCACCGCTATCAAGTGTGGAACAGAAGGCCGATAAAGTACAACCTTTTTAGGGTTTGGAGGAAGATTTGAATTCATCCCCAAATTAACATCAATCAGACCAGACGTCAACGACTGATCAGCCAATAACCCATTCTCCTGAAATTCAGGTTGTTCCTTTTGATAGAAAGAATCACTGGGTTCCCACTCCAAACATTGCATCATTCTAAAAGTGTCTAGAGTTAATCCAGCAAATTTAACCTGAAATGCCACCCGGTTCAGATTAAAAAACACAACGTACGGAGACAAGAGTAGTTCATTCTAGGAATCCACTCAAAGAAACAACAAAAGAGTTCTTTAACACCTCATTTTTATGATAGCTTGTCAGCAGGGCATCTTGAAACTTAAGGACCTTTGAAGCATGGAAGCGGTTCACATATGGATGAGACAAGGGATACGTATCAAACAAGGCGCAATATCGCAAAGGCCTGAGAATTAAAGACGAAAAATCAGCGTTTGTGAATCGGACAAGTTCTTGAATCACCAGTTTCCACTCTTTGAAGTTTGTACCCTGCAGGGACAGACTTAATGGAGTTGGTCATACAAATTAGCCAGTATTTGTGGCCGGAGCCATGGTATATCTTTTTCATGATCATCCATGCGCATTGAGTGTTCATCAAAGTTATCACAAGTGTGGCACATCTTGAAACTTAATTACTCCGTAGATGCAGGCAGAATTCTTTATAGAGTAAGAATGACCAACTTCTTTCACCCAATAAAATTCCAAATAACAAAATATTCCATTTGTACAAATCGGCTCTTGTAACAACAGGTAACTACAAGTCTGCTACGCACAGGTTGTAAAAGGTGATGAAATCACTTCACTTTTTTACTTCAGAACTTTGACCTTAGTTTTTTTCCAAGAAAAAGGGGCAAAAAGGGTACCCATGAAATACGTACTCAAAAGTCAGAGCGAAAACAATAAAACGAGAGGCATTTTAAAAGTAGTCCCGTGTAATTGTGTCCAATACAACGAAGGAAGTCAACTGAACGCAGATTGTGCAGTATTATTTTTTATTCAACGAAAAGGTAAGGTGGAATGATCAAAGGGTTGTAAATTTCTAATGTTTGATTTGCCTTAATTTGGGAATTAATTACTTCATCCCTCCCCAAATTAAATTAATGGAAAACTTTGTATTTTCTTTCTCCAAAGAAATTTAAATCACACATACTATGTACATTATCCATCCCATAAAATAGGGTCATGCTATACTTACACCAAAAATTATACCACATTTGTACACCGCAGTTATACACAAACATTTTGATGGTTTACACTGACACAAGTGTTGGTGCGTTAACAAAAATTTACACGGATATAAAGTGTTAGTGCGTTAACAAAAATTATTTTTACACTAACACAAAATGTCGGTGCAAACCTGCGGTGTACAAATGGGGTACAATGTTTGGGGTACAAATAGCTTTATCCCATAAAATATTGTGGTCTTAAGAATTTCTCTCTCTTATTAATCAAGATAAAAGTGATTACAAAAGTGAAACTTTTTTTTCAGGGCATTAGAAATATCATATACGGAGTGTATTTTTACCCTAAAAAAAGTAAAGTGTGTAGGCAAACTAATTACTCCCTCCCTCTCAGAATGTTATCCACATTTAACTTTTTTGTTTGTAAACTTTTATTCATTTTGAAATTTAATACATTGCATTTTGATATAAATTTAATATTAATATATTCAGAATGAGACATATTTTTTGAATATCAAATTTTTATAAAATATATTTATGTATAAATATAGATATTAATTATTAAAGTATAATATAAATATAGATATTAATTATTAAAGTATAACACTGGAAACCGTCAAAAACTAAAAGAGAAATTTACATAAATAGCACTAAAACATAATGACTTTCCATGAATAACACTTTTAGTCATTATACATTAGTCATTATTCATGGAAATGTTCGTCAACACAATACATTATGGACATTATTAAGTGCTATTTACGGAATAAAACAGTTTAAGTGCTATTTAGAAAAATGATCAAATATTTCAAATATTTAGAAGTTTCAGACTGAGCAGTATTAGTCCGTATTTTTTTGAAACATAAATTTATTTATTTTTATGAGAAAAGGAAAATTCCATTTCATCCCAACCGTGGGAAGAAACTGGTACTGTTCATACCGGGAAAGTGGATATGCTCTCGTCGACTATATCCTTGAAGCGGTCGACAAGAAGACTGACCATCTCAGACCGGTTGAGAATCAAGGATACCGTCAGAAACCTCGCGGTGAACCGCAGTTCCTTGAACCGGACGCCGCGATCCTTCCCTGAGCCCTCGAAATAGTTCCGGTGAAGAATCGCCTCGTAGAAGATGTAAGATCCAATGAGGAATCGAGCCTCGCTTGTTCGCAAGTACTGGCCGTAGTAAAGCTGCCCAATCCGGGAAGCAATTTCTCCGATCTCCCACCGCCGCAGCCCCGATTCCACCAGCTTAGCCCGGTTCTCTTGCTGGAACTTCCACAGCCGCGTGTACGCCTTGAACACCTTGTGGAAGTAGTGGCCGATCGGCGCGCCGCCGCCGTAAGACGGCAGGTCACGCACCCTGGCGAATTTCTTCTCCGCGCTATCCGCTAGCGCTCTAAACGTCCTTGGAACGACGTCGTCCCCTTCCATCACGTACGACTTTGCATACTCACAGTTGGAGGCATTAAGCTATTGTGCGGGCGGAGTTCAATTTGCTGGTATTTTCTAGAAGGATATACAGTAGCGGCGGAGGGAGATTTTTGAAGAAGGAGACGGCGGTTAACGGAGGATGAGGGCGGTATGATTCCGGTGAAGGGAATTGTTTGCGTGTGCCGTGTGGTTAATGGTTATGGCCCCCCAGGCACGCTTTTGGTAGATGGGGACGCTTTCTCTTTTTTAAGTCTCATACCACTTTGGCGAATGACGATCGAGTTGGTCTCACTAAAAATTACTCAATTACTACTACTCACGTTTACTATTCTGGCCTCTCGATAACTTTTGTTTGTTTACTTGTTTTGGTTGACCATTTGATAAAATAAAATATTCTTATAGCATCTTGTTTTGTAGAGCTTTGCATATACTTTTAAATGGTGTAATTTTTACTTTTTATTACTCTACCAATTCGAAATTAAAATGATTTTAAAAGAGATGATATTTTGCACGTCGTTCGAAGTGTTGCAAATAAATTGGGACGGAGGAAGTATTTGTTTATTTTAATTTTTTTGGTTTAAATTGGATACATTTTGAATTTTAATTAAAAAATATCTTAATGTTTTTTACATACAAATGATTTTATTACATTTACTGAATTAAAATCTTCAAAATTGTATTTTATTATACTAATATACAATACAAATTGAGATTAATTAAAGTTCAAAATTTATCTAGTTTGATTCAAAAAATTTAAATTGGACAAATACATTGAAACGCAAATAATGCATTAATATATCAATTCATTAGTGTCTCTCAAAGAGAAATGCTAAGGACATCTTAAACCACACATATTTATTATTATTATTTTCTTTTTTTCTTACACTACAAAATGTGTGGTATAAAATGTTGGGGTACACCAGCATTTTTCCTCAATTAATTGTGATGAAAGGTTGAAATTCAATTTCTTTCTCAATTTGTATTGTATCTTTGTACAATCAAAAAACTATGAAAGTTGTTAACAAAATAAATCTAATAAAATTATTTTTGTATTAGTATACACTATAATTTTGTTTAATTAAAGTTCAAAGTTTATCCTATTTGACTTGAAAAAATCAAACTTAACAAAAAAACTGCGGTGAAAGAAGTACTTTTTTGAATAGAGCTACTTTTACCCCTAAGATGCCATGAAAGTGTAAACATAATTCTTTGGAGTACAAGTTTGGTATCATATTTGGGGTATACGTAGCATGATTGTATTATTTTAGATGGATTTGTACGGAGTGTAGAAAACATATGTTTACCAATTTGATACGTATTTTCTTTTACAAAAAAAGAAAGAAAATATGACCTTGAAATCTTCTAGGTCTCAAAAGAGTTTGACCTTATCTAAAATTAGATGACATAGTAGTGTTATAACACCTTCGAGCAGAATAATGTAAATATAAAATGTAAAAAATGACACCAATCGTGAAATATACTTCCGCAGTTTGGAGAAACTCTCTCCTATTCTACGGGACCTATGCATGTCCATGTTATAGTCATTCACTAAATGACTACATGCAACTACATTGATACATAACTACACAATGACACACACTTTTCCAAATTGTTATGACATCTCTAATGTAGGATTTCCAACCTATGCATTATTCAGATCCGCTTCAGCTAATACATCTCTACTGAGATCATATCAACAAATATGTTGGCAACTCTCCCGTTCGGCTCATGTTCAACTTATAATTGTTATCATCTCTTTGACGTTGAAATATCTTCTCTATGTCGATCGTAATTTCTTCGTGCGTGGGATGGCTTTGGGACGCAATGTGAATGCTCTTAGATCAACATGTATTGTGTGTTTTTTCTTTCATGATCGCTCTAAGAAATCCTAGAGATTTGACGTGTTTATTTGGGCATCTTCAACTAGTCCTAGCAGAAACATTTATGTAGAAGTTGTCTTGAATACAAACTCAATCTTGATCTATAAGTAAGATAAAACATCTTAAATACCAATTGGAAATTATATAAATCAATCTAGTAAGTACAATTTGCAGCCCTAATAGGCCTCTTACTTGTAAAATTGTAGATCGTAAACTCTAGATTCTGCACAGGTCTTTGGTCTCGTCACAGTGCGTTATATCTTCTTTTTGTCACCCTAAAATACAATTTTGAATAACTTAAATAAGCAGCTTATAAGTTAAAAACTACTTATAAGCAATAAGTCAATAAGCACCAACATATTGTATATTAAAATAATGGAATAAGTTTCCGATTATTTTCCTCATTGTAATCCATTGAAATCATTTTTTTGCTAATAATAAGTCATATAACTTTTGTTTATTTGATGATCAAATTTATCAATTAAATTTGATAAAATATAATAGACGAATATTTTGAGACAATGGTAATATATCCTAAATACTTTAAACTTGTCTTTTTTATACAAATTTATAAAAACACAGACAAACAAAACATTAAAAAACTAAAGTTAAATTACGATTGATTCAATTTGGTTCATTCAACTATGTGAAATTTGCACTAAATAGTACTAAAGTATTTGTCATTTCCCAATATATTAATTAAAAAAATTTTAGTTTCTAAATAGTACTTGGATAATATCTAGTGACATGAACAATATCCAGGGATTGTGGACATTTACGTGAACAATGACTAGTGGATATTGAACAGTGATAACGTTGGGAAATAAAAATGATGGGTATAATCCACCCAGGCCATAATCCGGGTCGGGCCCAGCCAAGACCCCCCGGGCAAGGTCAATGTACTATGGAGCAGGATTATTTAGGTTGATCTGTACCCTGTCTGGGTGGGGTTCAGCTAGGCCACCAGAGTGACTTTTCGGCACTCGGTTAACTAGCATGACACTGCATAGGGATCCTCGAGTGACCAGGCGCTCCTTCAAGAAACCATCCGGGCAGGTTTTCGGAACTCGTACTAGGTGGTCAGTTTGGGCGTACATGTGTTAGAAAGAATAATTCAAGCGTGGTTGGACGGTAGGGACTAAATATCGCGGAGAATATTCAGAGATTCTCTTCCAAGAACTACGCTGCAAGAGAGGTACCATCAGCACAAGCCGACAAATGAGTGGGACAAGCGCTACGTGACAAGGGAAGTCACCTCGAACCGTCCAGGAACGTAAGCATTCTTTATCTTGTCTCCTAGGCTCCTCTATAAATACCTTTGTAACCCTCATTAGAGATGACCCGAATTTTACCTCTATAGAGTTAATAACAATTGGACTATAAGTATTTCCACATACCTTGGCAACTTTTGTTTTTTGTGTCACTTTAGTTTCTAAACTCAGCAAACCATCCTAGACCCGGTCTAGAGTAGTTCACCTGGGTGGTAATTTTCACCATCGAAAAACATATGGTACTACATTAGAAAAGTCATTGTCTTTTAGTACAATTTAGGTAAATTTCCCTTCAAGTATTAGTAGATCCCCCATACTTATGCTTCATTTCATAGGGGGTGCTCCATTTCATAAGGTCATCCGCATCGGTCGGACTAGTAAGGAGGAGGAGAAGAGTCATCCTAGAACACTCCTCTCATCAGATGGACAAGTTGGAGGAGGACCCTTTCTCTCACACGAAATACTTGATTCACAAACTCAATGGTCACAAACTTCACAAACTTGCTATTTGTGAAGTTCAATGAAAAAAATTAAATGGTCTAAAATGATTTTAAAATGAAATTTTAAACCATAAATAGAAATTTTGTGAAGTTTGTAAGTATTCTGTTTGTGAACATAGCATTGCTCTTCCCTCACGCGATTTTCTAGACAAAAATGGAGAAGTAGTGCTCTGCGCGCGAAGAAGATTAAGAGGAAAAAGTTGGCCAACCAAAGCATGACATATGTCCATCTCTTTCATATCTATCCAAAAGTTTTCCATATTCCTTTTTTTAGAAATCAATTTAAAAACTTTTACAGATTTGTCTACCATAATTTACAAATTCATTTACCGGGAAAAAAAATTAATTAAATGTTTTAAGATTTTCTTTTGTGGCGACTCTTTAACTTTTTTGTTACTCCATCCGTCCCCCTATATTTGTCCACATTTAACTTTTGGAATTGTTCATCTAAGCACTTTAACTCATCAAATTCTCTCAATGTGTAAGTCTAAACATAGTCATGTGTGATCTTGTTTGATTTGTCTTAACATATAGATTATTTATATATAATTTTTTAATATACAAATCACCAGATAAAATGGATTAAAGAAGTGCATTGGATGGTGTGTAAAAATGAAAGTGGACAAATACACGGGGCGGAGAGAGTATAATGTAGTAAGTGTTGGGTTAGTTATTGTTTTATAAAGATATGTTGAATTAACTTTGAAAAATAATTTCAAATATATTTTTTATTTACCTACTCGTATTTTTTGAAGAAATTTCAAATGTTTTAGATCTAAAAATAATTTTACACTTTTCCATTTTCTTTCTTAGAAAATAGATATGCTAACATTTGTAACTATCTTCCAAATAAATTTTAACAACACATTTTTCAAATACATAGAGAGTATAAATTAGATTTGATTTATTAAAAAGAATATACCCGGAGTATTAAATAACTAAAAAAGAATAGTTATCCTAATTAACTTATAATATACCCCAGAGTATGTTTTTGAAACAAATTCATTTATTAAAATAAATTTAATTAAACAATTCAATTAATTAATGAAGCATATTTCTATTTTTGTCTATTTGTTTTTAATTAAAATGGTTGTAGAGTATAAATAAATAATAATAATAATAAATCATGTGAGTCATGTAATACATTGTATTCTTGTAATTTTTTTGATGTAAGAGATGTGGAAGAGTGAAGCCAAGTCCTTTACTTCTCCATATCTAATTGGATGCTCTAATCTACGTAGTATTTCGGAAAGGATCGAGAGCGCAGGATAAGCGGTTATTATGCTTTTTAAAACAACGGCAGGACACGAACGTCAAGGCCTATTAGCTCAGTTGGTTAGAGCGTCGTGCTAATAACGCGAAGGTCGCAGGTTCGAAACCTGCATGGGCCATATTTTCATCAAATTAAATTTTACAATCATTTTACTTTTTAAAATTGATGAGTAAATTGTGTACGGAGTACAGTCAGTTCACTACTGCCATATATGCTTGATTCCCCTCCAAGATGCCTCTCGTCTTTAACACATTAAACGTGATTGTTTCTTCTTCAAGTGTTTTTTCTAACTTCAATCAAATACTCCATATAATTTAACACACATTCATACCTCATCATTTTTCTTTATATATTCACTTCGTTTATAAATCTGGTTTGTTTAAATATATTCAGTTCATTTAAAAACATTGGATTCATTTAGATTTTTAAATTATTTACAATCATTTAAATTGTTCATCAAAACCCTAATTGTTTGGTGATTTTAGTGTCATCGGTTATTTTATGTAATTGAAGTTTTGCTTAGAATGGACGAGAACTTTAATAGACGTTGTGAACGAGTCCGGAGGTATGGAATGCACACTTGTTCAACGACATTATTACAAATTCTATTACGGAGTCCAAGGAGTGACAACACCCGGCGGAGTCGAACCCTGGTAGGGGACGGAGAGTTCAAAATAATGTACATTCGAATGTATGTATCTATACATTCGAATGTTGTGTTTATCCAGCGCATCTTGTAGAAACTATTCGATACATTCCAATGTTTGAACCCAATTAAATATTTGAATGTTTCGCGATAAGTTGTAGCAGTTCGCACTTAACTGCAGAATTAACCGTTAGACTCAATCTACCATTAAATATTCAAATGTTAGAGAATCAACATTTGAAATGTTACCAGAAGTTGGTTATTTCATTAACCAACGCGTCTGTTCGAGATTTGCCTTAAAAATGACACCTTAGTATGGTTCTATGGTTCGAGGTTCGACTAAGATTCCATACACATTCTAGATTACTTGTGTATTATCTGGAGTTTTGGTATACCTCAAAATAACTTTAATCTGAAAGCGTTTATATGCGATTTGCTAAGTCTATCAACTCTTTCTTCACGTTTTAGTATACCAATTCTATAGCGTTGATTCGCAACGTTGTTGTTCCTCCCAATTCTTCAACGTAATTCATATTAAACTATTTTTCCAAAAACGCTTTTTATGGACAAAGTTATGCATTAGTTATTAGAACAAAAAATTATAAACCCATACTTTACATATTGAAAATAAAAATATGTTGTGGGATTATACTGGGTTGATGTTGTGGGATTGTATTAAGTTGTCATAAACCGTAATTTTATTTCTCAAGTATCTATTATCAAGTGGAAAAAAGCCCCGCTCAATTTGGACTCTAGAGGATTTAGACTTTGGAGGGTGTTTTTTTGAGGGTATATAAGTAAAATAACTATATATATGTATTATTTAATTTATATTCTGAATATATTCTTCAAACTAATGAATCGAATACGGAATACCCCTGATTGGAATTTGTATTCGATTAAGGTTCGAATATTTATTCGGATTTGTATTCGGATCTGAAAAAATCAAGTACGAATCACCTAATTCGAATAGGAGTCAAACTGTGACACACTATGATCACAAATTAAAAATGTTTTTTAATAATAAAAAATTTGGTATAAAAATTTGATATATTAAAACTATATTTTAAAGAAAAAATTACAGCAAGACTCCAAAAAGGTTTCTGATTTTACAAGAGTATTTCGAAAATAAATTAGTAACACCATTACCCCCATAATTGCTCTCCTTTTACAAAAACACTCCAACCGCCAGCTACCACCTTACTTGCACCATCATACTGTGTAATATCTACGTGAATTTTTAAGTAATTTAATTTTTTTTAAGAAAACTAAAAAAGTAATTTTTTTCCAAATCATCCTTTTAAAAATCCATTTAGATATTGTACAATTTTATTGTGCAAGTGAAGTGGTAGGTGGAGTATTTATACAAAAAAGAGCAATTATGGGAGGAATAGTGTAATTATTTATTTTTAGGAGTATTCTTATGAAATCAGAGATTGTTGTAAATTTTTCCTTTTTAAAATTAAACATAATTTTAATAAATTTACATTATTCTAAAATTTACATCTTAAAATATCCTTTTACATTCCTCTAATAAGAACCTGCGACGGGATTGTGATTCGGATCGCGAGTTGTTGCACCATTACCCCTCAAATCTCTTCTAATTTCCTTCAGAGCGATTAAGGTCAGACTTTTGCTCAAGATCCCCGGAAGGTTTGAAGTACCTGATGGATTGTTTCAGGTCCAGGAGGGGTCTAGGGCTATCGTAGTCTAGGAGATTAAGACCAAGTTTTTATTGTCTAATCTGATTAGAATTTATTAAGGTAAGATCCGATCTAATTCTTTCCTGATCTAATCTAATTTTATCTTATTTTAATTAAAGTTGAGAACAAAATATAGAAATCCAATTTTTAGTTTTTTCTTTTGTTTTGCTCGTAATTTGGTCATTCTCTCGAGGTTTATGAGAAATATTTGAAGTAGAAATCATCCATCTTACATTTTGAGAGACAATTCAAAACGGAACTAAAAGTGTTTCTGATCATATCCCCATTTTGGTTATAATTTTATTTTTTTTCTTCTCAATAACTTTTGCTTATTTGTATGTTTTCATTGATTATTTGATACAATAAAATATTCTTGTTACCTCTTGTTTTTTATATAGTAGAAACTTTGATATAATTTTTTGATATGTAATTTTTATTTTTTATTGATATACCAAAATCATAATTTTTATTTTTGATATGTAATTTTTATTTTTGATATGCAGTTTTTATTTTTGATAAAATAATTTCGAAAATCGTAAGATTTTATCTGAATAATTTTCATTTTGTAATTAAAATAAGTACAATGATAGCACTATATATTACTCCCTCCGTCCGCCTAAGATGTTCTCATTTTGACTTTTGGTGGTTTTTAAGGAGAGTTGAAAAAATGTGAAAGTTTACCATAATACCCTTAATGAAAAATGGGTGGAGTGTATTAAATGAGGTGGGTGAGGTGTAATAAATAAAGTAAGTGTGGGTAGTTGTGGTATTTTACTTGTTAAAAAATGAAATAAGAAGATCTATTGTGGACAAAGAAAAAGGACTAGAGGGAGTACTTGATGAAGCTCCGTGCCTCTGTGTATTGGATTTATATAGTGGAAGAGAGTGAGACAAAGATTAAATTTAAAACACATGGCTCTCACAAACAGATATCTCTCAGCAACCAATCATATCAATCCATCACCGGACCCACCGCCCGAGGCGAAGTCGGCCACCGCGCAGCCACTAGCGTCGGGGGTAAGAGCAGACTCTGATTTCGTAGTCATCCCGGCGGCGATGCTGTGCGCACTGATTTGTTTTTTAGGCCTTTGTGGTTTTGCTCGGTGCGGGCGGCAGAGGAGCGGCGCCGCCAGCCTGCCCGCCCGGCCTCACCCTTCGGCAAACAGAGGCCTGAAGAAGAAAGTGCTCCAATCCCTCCCCAAATTCGCCTACGCCACCGCCGCCGCCGAAAATGGCGGCAGGCAGCTCCCGGCGGACTGCGCCATATGCCTGGCGGACTACGCCGACGGCGACGAGATCCGGACGCTCCCGCAGTGCGGCCACGCGTTCCACGTGCAGTGCATCGACACGTGGCTCGGGTCCCACTCCTCTTGCCCCTCCTGCCGGCGGATCCTCGTGGTGGGTCGTTGCCAGAATTGCGGCGGAGGGGAGTTCCCGAAAGTCTCCGTCGCCGGAGATGGTTCCCGCGCGGGCACTCCGTTCGGCGGCAGCCTTCCCCAAATGGTATAGCTTGGCCGCGCCTGAAATTCAACTAAACCGACCGTAAATCGCAAATAGACAATTACTGTAAGTTCCCCGCGGGGGGGCCCACCAACACTACAGGTTACCCGTGATTTCCGGTAGGGCCATGTGATCCGGGTCGGTATTCGGGTTGTCCTGGGCGGGTCGGTGGGGGCAAAGTGGGCAAATTACAAATACGTAGAAAATGTAGTGGATGGGACAAAAACTTGGAGGCTGGGTATGTATAGTAGCCTAGTACGAATGATGTGTGTAATTTGAACGTTATTATTGTCACTATATATTTTAACTTATTATACCCCTCTCATAATTGTCTTACTGAATTTTTTTCATAAAAGGAAAGAAGAGCAGGCCTAAGTAATACTTTTAGCTAACTTATTATACCCCTCTCATATATTTTAACTTATTATACCCCTCTCATTATTATAACAATACAAATATATATCTTGGACTCCAAAGTTATTGTATTAATTTTAATTTATCAAACTAAATTATTTAAATTTATTCAGTATTATTATCATTTTACTTAAATCTTTCTAGGCCTTGTTTTGAGATGTTACTCTCCACCTCTTCACTTAGTGACTGAATTTATAACTCAATTAACTTACTTTTAGCTAACTCTTGAAAGTGATGAATTGCCCACTTTTTGTACTCATTGCATTTTCCCTCATATTTTTGTTTGTTAAAAATCATTAATTCACTTTGCCAAACCGTGAGTTAAATCATGTTTTTTTAACTTATTCTTATTATTTGTTATTTTAACCGTGAGTTATTTTTTTAACCATATCGAATTATCAACGATGAATATTCCTTGACAGCGATTATGACTAAAACACGACGATGACATGTGGATTGTGGTAGTGTCAGCATCAAGCAGGGGCTAGCAGATTGGGCCTAATATTTTAAAGGGCCCAAATTTTAAAATATTATATAAAAAATTAAATTATGAAGCCTAACATTCTAAAATGTAAGGTATGTGTCAAACGTGAGTATTTCAAGATGATGATAGATGCTTCATCCACTTAAACTACTAAAGTTGTTGTCATATATGTCAAACAATAATATATATATCTAGTGTGTGAATTTCATTAAAAGTTTCAATTATTTAAAACAAGAAACACAAGTAGTATCTATAAAAATAGTTTTAAAAAATGAATAAAATTGTTTATGTTTTATCTAAAATAAATTTGAATACTTCTACCTAAATATTATTTTTTTCAAAAAAAAAAACCTAAAAAATTATTGACATCAATAAAAATTAAGAAATATTTATTAATTATACTTTAATATATTAAAAGAAATTTTTTCTTCTACTTTTTCTCGTTTCAATCAACTAAATATAAACGTGATGTGTTAGATACGAATTACAGAGTATTAAATAAGAACACATTACATAGCATTTATTTTTTTAAAAAAATATGTGTATTGCCTTACTATTTTAGTATTTATTAGATATTCATTATTTATCTTTAATTGTAATAAAAAATAACACAAATACAAAATAAAAAGTCTGATGATGTATGCAAAATAATATTGAAAACTAGATGGAAAAGTAAAAGAAATCTAATATTCCTTATTAATTAAAAATATCTAATAATATAATATAAAATATTATTCTTTTAATTATAGTTGACTGTATCGTTGACAGCAGATCGATCGATTAACCTTTAACCCATTAGCTCGTCCGGGTCGATGTCTCACCCGATTTTCAAGACATTGGTTTGGAGAGATAAGTACACATAAAGTATTTACTATGATTTTGTCATTTGTTCATTTTGTTATAATACTATTGTGTTAATTATCATTTCAATATAATTACTTTGCACACTTTAATTCGTTAACTTTAGCGTCTTTTTTTCCTTCTCGGCTCAGACCATTGAATTCTCAGGACCGGCCTTGGCGTCGAGATCTGAGTGGAGACGATATGTTTTTAACATATCTGTTCATAAAAGAGAACAGAGTTTTTGACTGAATAATCTAGGTTATTTCATAAAACAATTCTGTTTTAATTATAATTTTCACTCTTATCATAAAATACTTTCATTTTTTATTTAAAAAGTCTATTTTATCTCTACTAATTCTTACTTAACATACCACATCATTTTATTCTCCTTTGATTTGCCAAAATTCAAAATGGAAAATGTTTTTCAAAATGGAAGAAGTGTATTTTATGTCTATATATTCATTTTTAAGAAATTTGTCTAAGACAAACTAAGATACTCCGCCCTAAATAAAGGTATTAACAGTATATAACACCACAATTGGTGATAAATATATCTCCCTCGACATATGTTACTAATCAATCATTCAATCATCGATCATATATCTTATTTCACAATTTATTCTTCATAAACTTCACATGTTCTACACTTATTACAATTGAGTAATCGTAACTAACTTTCTAATTGAGAGTATATACAATTACAAGTATTTACAAGTATTTGTAACATATTGTTTAGTACACACGATTTTTTCGGGGAGCCTAATGAGAAACGTTCTTCCCAAAGGGAATCACTACTTTTTTTTTAATTCTTTATTTTATTCTTTTTTTTTTTTTGCAAAAGGGAATCAATTACTTTAAAAATTAGGTTTTGTGTAAGAGAAAGTTCCACGGAGCAATTAAGTTGGTTATGGTTCATATAGGGACGACCGAACGATTAGGAGTCACTCACACAATCCGACTACACGTAAACCCACAGAGCAGCTCCTCAATTCCTATCATTCCCAGACTGATCGCTCCTAATTTTTCCGACCTCGGTTCTTAAATCGAAAACCCAGAAATTTCGGGGATTAGAGTACAAGGGTTTCACTTGCCCACTGTCTTGGACGATGTCTTGAAGAAGAAGAAGAATAAGAAGAAGAGTGAGATTCCGATTATTGGACCCAATGGTGAGCCCTGCAGGAAGTGGAGGAGGAAGAAGAAGAATCTTTGAAGAATTTTCACCGGGGTATTATGGGGTTTGCGCCATTGGAGGAATGCTGAGTGCTGGCACAACCCATCTCGCTTTAACACCTTTTGATGTCCTCAAAGTCAATATGCAGGTCCTCCATATCCCTCCCCTCTCTTTTTCCCCTAACTTGTTGATGAAAAAAAAGGTTTTTTTTTAATTCAATTTTCAATGTTATGTTAGTCTAGGGCATGACTAGTGCACAATTTCAAGTGCTCTGCCTGCACTGTTTGATTCGTAGAGAAAGTTTATGTTTGTTTAATGCACTCGTTTTATCCGGGGATTGATTGAAAACTAACAAGAAATGAGGAGCTGAAATTGGTAAAGTTGTTGAATTTTGAGTCTTTAGGTGCACCCGGCGAAGTACAGAAACATACCAACTTGCTTTACCATTCTACTGAAAGAAGAAGGTCCATTGGTGTTTTGGAGAGGATGGGGTGGGAAGTTCTTAGGGTATGGCGTTCAGGGTGCTTGTAGATTCGGCCTGTATGAATACTTCAAGAACGTGTACTCGAATTTTCTCGGGGATCAAAGGAAGAGTTTGATATTCTTTCTGAGCAGTGCATCATCTGAAATGATTGCTAATTTCGCTCTCTGCCCGTTTGAGGCCATCAAAGTCCGAGTTCAAGCACATCCTCACTTTGGGAAAGGTCTGGCTGATGGATTCCCCAAATTATATGCTTCTGAAGGAGTCCGTGGGTACTAGTTACTTACCCTTACTATGTGTTACTTTTAATATACTCTATTAGTCTCTGACTTGTCATTCTTTTTGTGATTTCAGATTATACAAAGGGCTTATACCGCTTTTGGGACGAAACCTACCATGTAAAGAGTAATTTCTAATGTAGCTATTGCTCGTTTTCTTCAAAGTTAACTTCATGAAGCTAGTAAAGATGTTTTGTCATTTATGAACCTGTTTTGTAAGGGTGATTGACTGAAATGGCTGAATAAGTGTTTGGTGTAAGCAATTTCCTACAAATCAGATGTTACTTTTTCTTATTGTTGTTTGGTGATAAGTAGAATAAGCTGATTAGTGCTACCTAATGTGGCATTTATAGTAATAGGGTCTGAAGTCTGAAATTCTCAACTTTATCTTGCTTGTTCCTAATTTGTACATGTTCATCCTTATCTTTTTAATAATCCCTCCGCCCTAAATAAAATTTCCACTTCTTTTCTTTTCACGAAAGGAAAGGAATAAGTGGCTTACAACATTTCTCTCTCTTCTAAACAAATTATATCCACACACTTTTCACATTTCAACAACGTTTTTAAACCCCGTGAAGTCAATCTGGGACTTTTATTTGGGGACGGAGGGAGTATATAAGATTTCATGCCCATAAGTTCCCCAAATTTTGAGCTGTTGGTGGCCATAAACAGTGCTTGTATATTACCATCAACAGCATTATTTTTTTAGTAATTCATTTATTGATGTCATATTCTCTTCTTCTGCAGTCTCATTAGTTATGTTTTCAACATTTGAACACACGGTGGATTTCACGTACAAAAAGATAATTCAGAAGAGGAAGGACGATTGCTCAAGAGCGCAACAGCTTGGGGTGACATGTTTTGCAGGATATGCAGCTGGATCTATTGGTAGTATTGTTTCTAATCCAGCTGACAACATTGTTGCCTCCCTTTATAACAAGAAGGCTTTGACCCTTAAGTTGGTAAAACTTTTTTTTTAATTCTCTTTTTTCTTATTATCTGTGTATGCATGCGTATTCTTTGAGATTAACTTTGCTGGTTTTTTTTACCTTTCTTGGCCAGGCGGTGAAAAAGATTGGGATTATTAATTTATTCACCAGGAGTCTTCCTTTAAGGATAATGCTGGTTGGGCCATCTCTAACTTTGCAGTGGTTGTTCTATGATACGATTAAGGTTTTAAGCGGATGGTAGGGAGCGTATTCAGCGATTTGTGATGGAATCTCAAACTTGTAAACCGTAACGTGTCTAAACTGTTTAGCATTTGCAGGCCAACGAGTGGGTACATCCGCCCCAGTTCAGAGGAGATAAATCACATGCTGAAATGAGATGCACATGAAGACGACAAGTCGGTCGAGATTAAGCAAATTTAGTTACAAAACCATAAAGCCAAGATTGCTTTTTTGTTCTTCTTGACAAGAAGTATTTGCAGATTTTCTTTGCTGTTTTGTGTGGGTTTGGATTGGATCCCTTTTCTTGGCAGTGTATATATTCTCTATTTCACCCACCACCCTCTGTTTATTGCTGTGCTGGTTTCAGAGCCACTTGGTTTCTGAACATTTATGCCAACAGTTTTGGACATATGGTAAATTTGAATATTATTAGTAGAGCATATAGCCACAAGACTGAGTGCATCTTAACAACCTCTTGTTGGGATTATATAGTGTTGTTATTGTTGTATAATATCAACCTGGTTCGGTTCCGTTGGAACCGACTTGAGTTCACACTATTCATTTAAGATACTTGTGGTGTTTCGTTCGAAAAATTAATGGCCCTTACCCGCTTACCCCCTAAAGCATGTCTCATTGCCTCCCCGACCTCTTGTTTGTCGCTTGGCAATAGTATTTATTGTTACAGAAGAGCGAGTCGGGGCAGGAGGGAGAGGACCATGGTAGTTATGGTGTGGGAGCAGGGGTGCATGTTTTTTTTGGGGGGGGGTAGCTGGGTAAGAGTCATTATTTTTTGTTTTTATAGAGTATTGAAAACTTTATCAAATACTCCCTCCGTCCCGAAATAGATTACAATATTCCCTCACATTTTTGTCTCAAAAAGGATTACAAAGTCAATAACTTTATAGTGATTTGACTTTTTTACCCTCACTTTTCTTTTCTGCCAACAACTATTCACACTATTTGGGGGGTAATTTGGGGAAAAAATTTGATTTGACTCTTCCTTAATTTCAACTAAAAGGAAATATTGTAATCTAAAGTGGGACAGAGGGAGTATCTCAAAACTTGAAAAGGTAAATGAAGCTATTTTTTGGATTTTTAAAATTTTATGGCAGTGTTTTTGTTTACTTTCCCTTTGATCATTTTGTTTTTTTGTCCATTTTCTATTTTTAGGGGCTGTTTATTTCAGCCTCTTAATGGTTCAGATATTTGAATGGTTCAGACTGTTTGTTTCATCCTCTTAATGGTTCAGATGTCTGAATGGTTCAGACATTTGCCTCTGGTTAAGTATTATACAGAGTCTTATCCGAATTGATCAGACATTTGCCTCTGAATAGTTAATCAATATACTAGCTCTTAAAGGTTCAGATCTCTTACTGGTTCAGCACTTAATGCTTCAGACTTCTTACTGGTTCAACACTTACCTATTTAGAAGTTGCCAAACAGCCCCCTGTGTCTCATGATGGTGTAAATTCATTGGACCGAACTAATTATTCCCCATCGAAATAGAATTCGTGCATGAATTTGTGTGTATTTATTATAAGTGTTCAAACTTCAAACTTTCGTTTAGTACACAAAAGTACGAGTACAAATTTATATTTTACTAATGTAAAACTCTAAGCTTAATACAAGAAGTGACATGACTATATTATTTTATCAAATTTTGAAAAAAGCACAACCTTTAATTTAGACAAATTATCATTTCTGGCATGACTTTTGTTTTTTGTCTATTGAATACACAAGCTTTACTTTTTTTTGGAAATTTGATAAAATAATATAATCGTGTCATGCCTTCTTTTGTAGAGCTTTTGATGTTGTTTTTTACTACCTCCGTCCCATTTTATAACGCCTGTTTCGGTTTACGATGTTTGACCGAAATTATTTTCAAACTATTTTATATGACAAATGGTATAAAATTAAAAAATAAAAATTACATATTAAAAAACTACATCAAAAGATCTACAAAACTAATAGTGACATGAATATTTTATTTTATCAAATTGCTAACGAAAATAGAGAAAGAAAGTGAATGAAGTTTGACCCTGTGAATAGTAAACAGGCATTATAATTTGGGACGGAGGGAGTAATATGTAAAGTTTAATTTTTAATTCCGCTCAAATTCTCTAATAAACTATATTGAAAATAATTTCAACCAAATATCGTAAACTAAAACAGGTTATTTAAATTAGGACGAAGGAATGGTATTTTCAAACAAAATTGTAATGATATCCATAATTATATCACTTTTTTCCAAAATTTGTGCATATTTAGTTTTTTTATTTTATAATGTTGACTTATACTTCGTATGTCTTAAAATTACTTAAAAGTTCAAAATAGAATAATTGAATAGATTTAATACATATTCCATTTTTTTCACATTTTATTTTTATTCAAGCAAATGCATGTGTTAATATAAATTTAAAAATTTTAAAAATAAAGGTAATAACTCATTGGTCAATTCGTACTTTAATCATTCTTTTGATTACAAAATTTCGTCATTAACTATATGATTCATTTACACGGTGCACTCAATCGAGAACTAAAAAACAATAAGCTATGACCTATAAGTGGAAAAAGATCCATTTTTCTTTAACACATTAGAAACCACTCACTCCATTCCAAAAAAAAGGAAAAAAAATTCTTTTCAAAATTAATAGGAAAGAAGAAAAAATAAATTATGGGAAAGGAAGTATTTAAGTTGATGGGCATGCAGTGTAAGATCTTTGGCCCTCATCAGTGATTGTTTCGACTCAATTGTACATCTCATTTAATATTATCATAAAAGAATACAGGTGGTATACATCAACTTTTTTTAAAAATTAAAAACAAAATAATTGAAAACACTAATATTCTCATATTTAAAAACAAAAACAAAAATCTACAATTTTCAGAAGATGATTTTTTTTTTAAAAAAAAAAAGTGGTTGAGAACTCAATCAACGTGTTAGAATCTCCGGCCACCAGCTTACATTTCCTGTACGAGAAAAAAAACATTGCATGTGAGAGACAGTACTCTTAGGTCCCAAAAGTTCAATTCATGCATCTCCAATGTCCTGTTAGTTGAATGCAAAATCCAAAATTCATACCTGGAGAGTAGCAAAATGTTACATTGATTCACGTTTTCACGTACTCCACGTTGTTGCGTTTGCGTTTGTTCGATCTCGAGGGGAAGCATCTCTGCGTCCACGACGACTTCTTCTGCTTCACCGCTTGCGACTTCACATCCCTTTTCGCGTACACATCTCCCATGTACTCAACAACCGCCTGAACATATATAATAATCAAAATCATCACGAGAGAGAAACAAACATATGATGGATTGGCTGTTGATTGACACGTATCAGAGTCTTGCTGACCAGGGGATCAGAAAATGGAATGGACATTTTTTTTTACCTGAGCTCCCATTTCCACTATGTTTCTGGGTGGAACTTCGAGCGGATTTCCTTCCGTTTTAAGAATTCGTAGCTTCGACAGCATCCTGAATGAGTCGGGCAAATTTCGGATTTGGTTGTTACTCATATCCAATTCCTCGAGCATTTCGAGGTTCCCGATCGACCTCGGGAGGCACCGGAGGTCGGCGAAGTTGTTACTAATGTTGAGCTTTACAAGGGTGGTTACTAAGCACAAGCTCTCGGGAACGGATTCGATTTCGTTGAAACTCACATTGAGTTCCTTCAAACTTCCCATTGATGCCATTGTGGTAGGCAATTGCCTCACATTGTTGTATCTCACGGACAGTATCTCCAGAGCTCCCATTCTCCCCACGGCTTCGGGCAGAGCTTTGAGTTTGTTATAGTCTGCTCGAAGCTCGGCGAGAGAGGAGCACTGGCTGATGGTGTGAGGAAGCTCCTCGAGATCGTTAGTCTCCACGATCAGTCGTCTGAGACTCGAGAGAGAACCAATTGTTTCTGGGAGGTTAGAGAGGGCATTGGAGCTCAAATCGAGTTCTTCAAGACGGCTTAACTTGCATATGGAAACTGCCAATGACTTTAGCTGGTTCCCACTCAAGTCAAGGTAAACCAAGGTGAGAAGGTTTCCTATGGAGTCCGGGAGGTCAGTGATCCGGTTTGAGTGCAAATCGAGTTTCTTGAGGGACAAGAGTCCTCCGATTGATGGAGGTATGGACGCAATCCGATTTTCGGATAAATCTAAGGTGATCAGACTCGTTAACTTGCCTATCGATTCAGGGAGCCAGTCAACCTGATCAGACAACTTGTTCTTCAGAATGAGATGATCTTGAGTTCCTCTCTTGGCAGTCAGCTCAATGAAACTGGCAAGCTTGATCAAGCTCAGTTTCTCACCATCTCCACCTGTCATGTTCATCATTGCCATACATCATTAACTGAGAAGCTCTCAGAATTTAGAAAAGCATTAATGAAATGTAATTAAATGGAGTATTTGGAAAAAAGAAGCCTTTGTTTCCACTTTTTTTGGTAAATGCTCAAAATGGCTTAAGTGAATCTAGTAAACTTTTGAAGTTGTAACTGAAATGACTGATGTGGTCATATCTGATACAGAGTAAATCAGTATATTATTCAAAAAAAAAATTCAAGAAAATATTATCTAAAAACTAAGCTAAAATTATAAACTTCCTCTCAACCATAAACATCTTCAAATCAAGTGATATAAACAACTAATCTTCACTAAACAGCATAGTAAAAGAAAAGAATGGATAGAAACTCACTGGGATTAGTTGCAGGCTTTAAAGTGGAATCAAGAATCATGGATGCAGCAGGTGCATAATCAGGTCTTCTACCAACAGCACCAATTCCATCCATATGAAAAGCAGTTTTGGACTTCTTCAAAAAGCTGTCGTCTTTACTGTGAAACTCGGAGGTCTTCATCAGATGCTCTCGGTCGCTGTAAAACCCGGATAGCGGCGGAGCGGCGGTGATGGTGGTCGCCGGAGACCCGAAACTGCTGCTGGACATGGAGGCCGAAGTCGCCAGAGAAGACAAGCTGCTGGAATTCAAGCTGGAGGAAGTCGAGGGAGCATATGCGTGGGAGGCGGCGGAAGGCAAGCACTTGGAAGCTCTCTGAACCAAATCGTCGAACACATAGTGAGCATGCTCGAGATCCAGCAGTTTCAGGGCTTCCTTCTTCTGCTCCTTGCTCTGGAAATCAACCATGGCCCTCTGCATTTCCTGCAACACGCTGAACAGTTCTTCGGGGACGTCTTTCCCTCTCCTCTGCCGCGCGATCGAGTCGAGTTTCTGCAGATCCTCCCTCTCCACGGCGGCGAGAAATGCCTTGGCCGCCTCCACCTCCTCCACTCCCGGCCGCGCCGGCAGAGATCTATGAAGCCTCATCACCTCGTCCACCACCTCCTCAGTAGACAACATTGCGCACAATTTTTTCCCAAGAAACTAAAACAAAATCACAACTTGAGGAAACAATTACTTAATGCTTCCGAATAAAGCTAAAGCCTTCCAAGTTCTGCTTTTCAAAACCAAACCCAGAAATTCTTCCTCTCTTTTCTCTTCAAATTAAATGAAAATCCAAAGGAAATGAATACGGGGTAGGAATCTTTCTACAGCATCGTCATTGCCCACGTCATAAAGTTCAAACTTTCTTTAAGGTAAAGGAGAAGTAAAGATGGGTTTGTTATCTTTTTCAGGCTTTCAGAAGGGATTGCCCTACCATCAACATTCAACAGGAAGGGAATAACTGAAGAAGAAGAAGAAGGAAATAGTTTTTTTTCTTATTTATTGTTAAAGAAAATTGTATTAGAGTATCCAATCCAAGAATGATGAAAGGGGAAGTGGATCATACATTGAGTTCAACTAAAAAGAATGGGATTTTGAAGGGTTTTTAAATGGAGAGTGGATAGTGTAAATCATACAGCTAGCTACTTATACATATATGACTGGGCATATTCTTGCATTCATGTCATGTGTCTTTAAAAAGTCATTATCTCATCCCATAAACAAACATCTTAGTATTGTTATGACTTTTGACCCTTTTTAAATTTTTTTTAAAGTAGGAGTAATTTGTTAATATAAAAACACACTCCTTCCTAGACTTGGCAATCCAATCAATCAATTCAATTAGTCCAGTTTCGATTCAAATTTGTTCGATTTATTTTGAGTATACGTCATAACCAGTTTAGACCTATTTGGTTTCGTTCAATTTGGGTCAAAGTTTGATTCGATTCTTCATATTCTTTTAGTTTGATTCGGTTACGGTTTGGTTTAGATACACTTGAATGTCAATTTGGGCACAAAGTGCCTTAAAGAGCTTTCTGCTTGGATAATTAGGAGAGATACAAATTTGTATTACTTTGAGATAATTTAGGACTCGATTAAGATTAAAATTTAATCAAGTATGTGTTGGGGATTCCTCCAAGTCCCACACCGGAGAGAGAAGAAAAAATGGACCAAAATATATAGGTTCACCCAACCCCATTAGTATGAGGCCTTTTGGGAAGTGCCCAAAAACAAATCCGTGAGGGCTTGGCCCAGAGCGGACAATATCATACTAATGCGGGGTTGGGGTGAGGGCACACGCAGTTCCAACATGTGGTATCAGAGCCTAGGTTCTTGCGGGCGGGAGTAGCGGACTGTGAAGTGTGGAAAAATCTCGGTGTGACGGTGTAACTAGGACCAAGACCAAGAAAGAGGATCTGCAGGTGGTGCCTTGTGTCGAAAGTCTTCCCGACGAGAGGAGGTCGGGCGGCGCGTCCCGTGAAGTTATAGTCACGGCGGTACAAGATGATTTGGCGGATCAAATGGTGTAGCCCAGTGAAGGAAAGATTTGCAGTTCGAGCCTTGCGTCGAAAGTCTTCCCGACAGGAGGTCGGGCGGCGTGTCCCGCAAAGAGTGTGCGGCGGTGCAAGATGGTTAGCAGATAAAAGGAAAAATGGATTACCCCTGGAGGGGAGGTCGGAAATTGTGTGGTCCTTGGTTGAGGGGAGGTTTGTTGGGGATTCCTCCAAGTCCCACACCGGAGAGAGAAGAAAAAATGGACCAAAATATATAAGTTCACCCAACCCCATTAGTATGAGGCCTTTTGGGAAGTGCCCAAAAACAAATCCGTGAGGACTTGGCCCAGAGCAGACAATATCATACTAATGCGAGGTTGGGGTGAGGGCACACGCTGTCCCAACAGTATGTTTCTTGAGAAAATTATCTCAAATGAGACTAAAATATGGAACATTTACATAAATACGACATTTTTTAATCTTTACCACATGATTTATTTAGTCATATTACGGTGCATTTCATATTTTCAATTCTACTTTTACCATTTTTTCTTTCTTTTTATTTCTAAATTAGTTCATTGATAATCGCTGAGTCATTTACTATATTAACGACAAGATCATAATGCTTGTTAGTTGATTTGCCCACACTTAGAGAGAGTGAATAAAGTACTCCGTATTTAAAGATCTTCTTGTTTACTATTACGGTCTCTCGATAACTCTTATTTGTTTGCATGCTTTCATTGATCATTTGATAAAACAAAATATTCTTGACACCTCTTGGTCTGTAGAGTTTTTGATTTGTTTTTAAATATATTTTTTATTTTTATTTCTTTACACCAATTTGTAAATAAAATCATTCTAAAAGTCATGTGGTTTTGCACGTTGATCAAAGAAGGAAATTAATTTAGGGACGGAGGGAGTAATTTTACTCCCTCTGTCCCATTTTATATTACCCAAAGGGGGCATATTTAAGGAAGGAAAAAAATGATGTTGACTTTCCAAAAATGCCCTTACTTTTTTTTGGGGGGGGGGGGAGTGACGATGAATGAGAATATAAGGTGGAGAATTGGAGATGAGTTGCTTATTTTAAGGGCAGTTTAGGTATTTTACCCTCAAAATTTTACTATAATAAAAAACAGACAACATATTTTGGGACGGACAAAAAATGAAAACATGCAATTTAAAATGGGACGGAGGGAGTAATAAACGCATAAGCAATGAATAAAACATAAAAATAAAACCATACAAATAAGAGGCATACCAAGTATATACAGGTTCAGGAACACACTACTCGAGTACCTTAAGGTTTTTTCTCAAGAACTTCTGAATTCATTTAGTCCCAATTTCTTGAACTCCGTCAAACCCGCACTTAATTTTGACAAACAACCCTTACCAATAGGATTCATCTGAGATTTCATAATGGCAATCTTAAACTGCTTACAATTGTATCCAGCCTCGTTTGCCCACACAACTAGTGCAACATCCAGATCCTGCAGAAGCTGCACGTGAATTTTTTTAACCACCCAACACTCTACCCCATAAAGCATTATTAGTCTGACTACAGCCCTGTAGAACTTAGCTTTCTTCCTAGGTTAAATCTTCTTGCCCGCACAACACTCTTGAAGTCAACCTCCACTTAGCCCAAGCTTCTCCAATACAGTGCACAACATCCCGGTCTAACTCTCCATCTGCATGAATTACCGAGCCAAGATTTCGAAACTTGTTAACTTTGGGCACTAGGTGAGAGTCAAGCCTCACTTTCACCCTTGACTCCATCTCCCGGCCACTAAAACGACATTCCATGTATTCAGTATTGGTACTATTGAGTTTGAAATCCTTGGTCTCCAAGAAAAAGCGTCAAAGTTCTAACTTATCATTTAGGCTTATCATTTAGGCCCTCGCGTATATCATCCGTAAGGTTTATCAAGTGACACCAGAATCTCTGCAAGCTTTTAGAGTGCTTCTTTTTTATTAACATTCATTAAATTGATATAAACTTAAATTAAAAAAAACAAAGAATGGAACCTTAATAAGATTTCCTTGCTCGAAACTCAACTGAAATCTTGAGCAACAAGTAACTTGGAATGAGCATGGAAAATTAGAAAGTTCACCTCTCCTCCCTTTCCAAAAGGTCACATGTTCCTCCTCCCTAGGATTGAAGAGGAAGGCATTTACTTAGTTAGTCAATAGAAGATACTCCCTCTGTCCCTAAATAAAATTCTTCTTTCGTTTTTTCTTTGTCCCTAAATAAACTTCTTTTTTCCCTTAAAAAACCCCTTTTACCCCTTACTTTTTCATACCCTACTTTTTATTTAGGGACGGAGGGAGTACGATTTTTTTAGGGGAGACAAAGAACACCCCCCTCATATCCACCCTCTTACTCCATTGAGGATAAATTTTCCACAAGTTAAAAAAATTTCTCGTAGAAAAAAACCCAAAATAGGATCCAAATAAATAAATAAATCAGGCACAGCAAATTTGGCCACCGTTGGAGAAAATAGGCTGGCCTCACATGCCCCTGCTTTCACCTGTCTCTCTACTTTGATTGAGAGAATAATAATAATAATAATAATAATAATAATAATAATAATAATAATAATAATAATAATAATAATAATAATAATAATAATAATAATAATAATAATAATAATAATAATAATAATAATAATAATAATAATAATAATAATAATAATAATAATAATAATAATAATAATAATAATAATAATAATAATAATAATAATA